AGAAGTTGACAACAATGGCAAGGAATATGAAGAGACAGTTAAGGCAGAAGAGGAAAACTCTGAAGAAGCAGCCGAGAACTTGTCAGAAACTGAGGCCGCTATCATTATTCAGTCAGTATATCGTGGATTTGTGGTCAGAAAGTGGGAGGCAAAGATTTCATGTTGATTCCAAAGTTGCAGAAATTTTAGACTTCACACTTTTTGACAGACAAATAGGTGGAGATTTTGAAGATTAGATCATCGAACTTCCAATGGTATGTGGTTCAATAGGCATTACATCAGATTCAAGTTTCTTGAATAACTTGGTCAGCAATGAAGCTACTTTGTTCATGGAGTTGGAAAATCATCAACTCCATATTCATGACTCTATTTGGGATGGATTCTTGCTGCGACATGCAGCTAGGAGTTGTTCCAATTCAAAAATCAAATTAATTCAAGTTTTGTTCCTTCATATTTGTTCAAGCAAGCTTTGGAAATCTTCTGAATTTAAAGGAAGTGCTCAGAGAGTTCATGAAAAGATGCTCTTTGCTGGAGAAAGAAGATTATTGTGCTTTGTTTGAGTAAGGAAAAGAAGAAATAAAGGATTGAAGGCTTTACTCGGGCTCTTATTTGATCGTGGTAAATTGTTACAAACTCGAGGTCGAGTTTTATTCAAGGAGGACGGTCTGATGCAAATCACTAAGGGTACTTTAGTCAAGATTGAGACAGTCAATGGTTCCTTGGAAAGTGCCTTGAAGAAAAAGTCAACGAGTCATTCTAGTTTTTGGGTAGCAATTAATTAAGTTTTGGAACTACTAAGTGTTTACTTAGGAAAGTGATAAAATGCTATTAAAGCTGTGTGGGAATTCAAGAAGTCATTCTAGGAAAAGTCAAGTGTTATTAATGGTTGTATTATATATGGGACCGTCCTGTAACAAAGTCTTTATCAATATAATTTGAGATATTTTCAGAGTATAAATAGTTCTTCGGGCTTTCCCCAGATTTCCCTTCAGAAATCTAGGTTCTGGCGGTGTTTGGAGTACCCCTAGTCTTCCTTATTGTTGTAAGAAGACTTTTGTCTTTTTCTGTTTGCTTCATGATTCCACACCTCCTGGGGAAGGTGAAGGTGCAATGTTATATGTACTTTCAACACCCTTCTATGACACAACGCATTTTGAAGCGATGTGATGGCCGTGAATCCATCAGAACTACACAATTAAGCGTGCTTATGCATGAGTAGTACCAGGATGAGTGACCTCCTTGAAAGTCTGGTCCGAGGGAGCTAAAAGTGGACAATATTGTGTCGAGTAGGGTGAGGGTTATTATATCTACCACAACCACGATCACGACCACCATGTCCTTGTTTACCACCCATATTTCCTCCATAGTTACGGTTACCACTAGAAGTACCACGGCCACAATCTTAGTCCTTCCACATTTTGAGAAGCTATTCCAGGTGGATTGTGATGGCTCAATCGTTGGAATCGCAGCAATTTTGTCGCAAGAAGAAAGGCCAATAGCTTTTTTACAGTGAGAAGCTAAGTGAAGAACGCAATAAGTGGACTACCTATGGCTGGAATTCTATGCGGTTGTGCAAGCTTTGCATACATGGGAGCATTATCTTATTCAGCGAGAGTTCGTGCTATTTATAGATCACCGGGCACTGAAATCCATTAATAATCAAAAAAGTGTTACTCGGATGCACGCGCGATGGGCAGCTTATATCCAACGATTTACCTTCTCGCTAAAACACAAGTCAAGTTAGCAAAACAAAGATGCAGATGCACCAAGTCGGAGGACAAATTGCTTAGTGACTATGAGGGCGAAATCATAGGGTACGAGTGCTTAAAGGAGTTATATGAGGCCGACGAAGATTTTGGCCAAGCCTAGGCAGCTTGTAAACTGAACCAATCCTTTAAAGGGTTGCACATACACAAAAGGATTTCTCTTTAAGGGCAATCGGTTATGTATCCCACGTAGTTCTTTGCGAGAGCAAGTGGTTCATGAACTGCATGGAGGAGGATTAATAGGACATTTGGGGCTTGATCAGACGCGAGAGCTGGTGGAAGAACGATATTATTGACCGCAGCTCAAGCATGACGTGGAGAACCATGTGCGGCAATGCTTGATCTGCCAAACTAATAAAGACTAATCTCAGAATATTGGCCTTTACACAGCGCTGCCTATTCCAGATGCTCCATGGGAGGATTTATCCATGGATTTTGTTCTGGGGTTACGAGTTACCGACGACGCAGCGAGGAACAGACTCAGTTTTTGTGGTGGTCGGTCAATTTTCCAAGATGGCCCACTTTACTACGTGCAAGAAGACAAATGATGCAGTCAAGATGGCAAATAGATTCTTTAAGGAGGTGATTCGTTTACATGGGGTGCCACAATCCATTACCTCAAATCGTGACACCAAGTTCTTGTCTCACTTTTGGCGGACTTTATGAAAGAGATTTGATACCTCTCTTAATTTCAGTAGCACTAGTCACCCCAAACTGATGGCCAAACGGAGGTGGTGAACAAGACCCTTTGAAATCTTATTCGCTGTATTTTAGGAGAGAAACCAAAGCAGTGGGATCTTGCTCTTGCCCATATAGAATTTGCTTACAATTGCATAGTTAACCGGTCCACTGGCAAATCTCTATTTACAATTGTGTATTGCTATCCTCCAAAGGACGTTTTGAATTTGGTATCCTTACCAAAGTTACCGAGGAAGAGTGTTACTGTAGGGAAAATGGCTGAGCACGTTATGACCATTCAGAAGAGTGTCAAGAAACATTTAGAGGAAACTTACGCCAAATACAAGGCTACAGCTCACAAGAGACAAAGAAAGAGCTTTTTTTTTTTTTTTTTTTTTTTTTTTTAAGTAAAAATGTATTAGAAAGCATTCAAATGGGGAACGCGTCCCAAGAGTTGTACAAAAACCAAAAAAAAGAGAAAGGGGGAGTCCTATGGACCCAAAGAACCCAAAAAGTCCACGATTTCATCTAAAGATATACAATTTCTACCCATAACCTCTATTATATGGACTTTTCAAAAGTAGTGAAGTACCCATGTTAGACAAATATCCCTTGGACATGGATATGGGATATGTGTTCGACACTTTTGGTTAGACATATATTTAAAAAGCATATCCAATCATTCAATTACATTATATTATTACTTTAAAATGAGTTAAATACCTATATTGAACATTATATTAGATAAAAACATTACTTTACTCTAGAAAATAAAATAAAATAATTAATAAAATGAATATTTAGCCATGTCCGTGTGTCCTTCTATTTGGAGATTTGACACGTCCGACACATGGATACATACCCGAGTCCAATACATGTACCCGAGTCCATGTAACATAGCCCATAACCCAACTAAAAAGAGAACAAATGATAGAAAACTTCAACGCCCCAATGGAGAATTCCTCCCTATCAAAAAATCTTCTATTCCGCTCTTTCCAAAGGCTCCACCAAACACAAAGGGAAGAAAGAGAGTATTTGAAGAAGGGGACCTGGTTATGGTGTATCTAAGAAAAGAAATTCCAATGGAAACATACAACAAGCTGAAAGCCAAGAAAAATGGTTCGTACAAGATTCTAAAGAAAATAAATGACAATGCCTACGCGATTAATTTACCTGCAGACATGGCCATTTCTTCTACCTTTATGTGGCTAATATACATGAGTAGTATCCCGCAGATTCAGGCAACTCAGGGATGAGTTATTCTCACGCAAGAGAAACTGATGTAGAACAACTGGCTCACGAGTATATAAGAACACAGGATCACCGCAAGTCAGGGAGACTGAAAAGGTAAGGAAAGCTATAGAAGTATAGAAGAAAATTAAATAAGGAGAAGTCAACAATAAAAAAAGGAAAAGTTGAAAATAAACAGCAAGATTGGTGGTGGAATTGACAATAGGCAACAAGAAGATTGGTGTAGTTACCAACAATAGGCAGCTTAAATGAAGAATTATTCTCCACTGCAAGATTTAAGGAGGATTCTGCTCCACCAAAATCTCAGCAAATACTTCTTTGGATTCCCCTTTAGTAGAATTTTACGAAGTGTAATAAGTGTCCTTTACTTTCATAAGTGGTTTGATTTTTCTTTTGACTTGCCTATAAAGGCAAGAGTTGTAAGTTTGTACGCAAACAATTATGAATACAATTTCAAGTTTTCTCTATTGTGAGTGTGTTCCTTGTGGATTCAAGGTTTTAGTTCTGTTCTTATCATTTACGTTACTTCTTCACTAAGCTTTCTCTCTATTTATAGAGAATTCCTCAACCTAGCTTAGTGAGCAAGTAATACTATTACGATATACGCAGCGAACCCACGAAACAATCATGAAACATAAAAGAAAGTAAACACGCCACACACAACGAACGCTAAATCTATCCACAGTGAAGATCCGGCGAAAGATTTCACTATGTGAAAATCTGGAGATTACAAGTTTCAGCTCCCAAACCCTAGCTCTCATTCCCACACTCTTTTCTGCAATTTTCAATGTCTCTCAATCTCGCACTCCAAACCCTAAATGCCCTTATATATCAGGCTAAACGAGAGTACTAATTAGGGTCCACAACCCACAAGAAAAAATGGGTCAAAATTTTTCCTCAGGCCCAAGCCCCCGAACCACCAGAGCTTTGGTGGGCTTGGGCCCACACAAAGCTCATCCAATAGGTCGACCCGGCACCAAATTCAGGCCTCAACATCACAAATACAAATCCTTGTTGGGCAAGGAATACAGTTACTTAGGGCTCAAGTACAATTACTTTAGGCCAAAATCTAAAAACACATCCCGAAACCAATACAGCTCAAAACCCAACCTAGTAAGAACTTGACACATACATAACACTTCATATCTTGTACACGGAATTTATAACTTCCAAGATAAGTAACTACTTCTTGAACAAGTAATATAGCACATCTATAAGAAAGCAACTATCCAAATTGTAATAACAATATATCTCTAAACAGAAGCAAGTACATAAATTTAAGTGTTTGATGCATAAATGTTATACCTGGTGAATGAAAGGCTCCAATTGGCTCAATAAGTCGTATCCCTAAAAGGATAAAACAATCAAATTTGTTTAGTCCAGGTGAAGGAAATCACAGCCACTTGTATAGAAGTTAATGTCTAATAATTTAATAAAACACACCAACTTAAAATATCTCAGATGAGCATCCATAATTGCACCAAAAGATTCCAAGAACTCATACTTCTTTTTTGCTTCAATATTCATGAGGGCATTTACCTGAATTTCTTAAAACACGGAGGAATCAATTAGAATCAGAAAGACAAACAGACGAAAAAAAAATATCAGCAAGAAATTACCTGTGGTTTGGGGTTATTATGGGGATCCAAAGGGATGAGTCCCACCCCCAAAGTGGGTTGAGACACCCTCCCATTACCCAAAAAATATAAACCAAGATTCAGCAAGAATGTAGAAAATAAAATTGTGTATTAGACATACTAGATTGAATCGGCTTCTCTCAAATGCTGACTTGGAGTTGTGAAGATCCTGACATTAAATATGAGCAGATAAGCTAAAATGTTGCTAATGTGCCTTATCATAGATATGTTAAAAAGAATGTGGACCTGCCTGATTATTACACAAAAGCAGCGTTGAACTTTCTAATTATGAAAACAATTAGCAATATTTTACATGGAGTAAATTAATCACAGTTTCAAAATTTTCATTTAATTTTTCTTAGTTGGTACTCACACACACATGCCTCCATTGAGGCTTGAACCCCTGACCTCCCTTTGGAAAGTAAGGGCTTGATACCGCTAGGCCACTGGCCTGTTGGTAAATTTTCATTTAATTAATTTCCATTTTTTTAAAAAAAAAACATGTATTTGGAACTTACAGATATTGTCACCTTCAATTAGACTTTTAAGAGATGTAATCCAATAACTATAAGGTCAAACAGTTTGAAACAAGTATTTGCCAATTATCAAGGAACTATTGGAGCAGAATGATAAAGAGATTTCCACCAATGGGTAGCTGAGCATTGGCGAATATGTTCCAGGCCAATATGAGAAATAGATATCTGACATTGTTGTTTTGACATGAGACATTTTGTGAAAAATCAGATTTTTTCAGCATTTCTTTTTCACTAAGATAGAATTAAAGCGACAAATCAGTATAAAGAAAAGGAGCAGTGAATTGGGCAAACCCCAGGGAACTACCAAAATTAAGTTCAGAAACTTAAACAACTCGAGCTCATGGAAATAGACTACAGAACCAAAACTTTCACAAAAGAAGCTGGGTTTCCACCGCCACACTCACTAAGCCAACAAAATAGTAGCATCCCATAAATAGGGATGTCAATTTGTCCTGACCCGGATGATCCCACCCTGCCCCGCATCTAATGGGACAGTTTGGTGAGGGAGTATTCTGAAAAGGGATGGGTTTAGGTTAGAAAAGTTAAAACCCAACCTGGGTTCAGGGCAAGGTGGGTTTATGAGTATCTGGCCCCGCCCCGCCCCACCCATAATGCATTACATTATCTACTCTTATTTAAATTTTATATCGCATAACTGCCATTATGTGTGTGTGTGTGTGGAGTAGTAAGGTTTTGACATTTAACCTTCTCTCTCAACCACCTCAACCCTCCTCCCTTCCCCACTCCACTCTCGAATCCATGACTGAAGTTTATTGATGACGAGCACATCCAATCAGTGATCATTTCCTCCGCTCTCTCTATATCAGTCCCTCCCTCCATATCGAAACTAATCCATATATATGTAGATGTGCATATATAGATGTTTATAACTACATGTATCATAAGGTTAGAACTCATCCGCATGCCCTAACTATATTATATAGACAGAATTAGAGAAGATGCCCTGTTACTGGTCATGCTAATGATTTTTGGAGGGTCACCCCTCACTGTGTTTGGTGGTGTATTTGGAGAGAGAGAAATAACAGAAATTTTGAAGGAAATGAATCGTCTTTTGCAAACCTAAAGTCTCTTATTCTTCGCTCGATTGATGATTTTTTTGTTCTATTGGACTCTGTTGGTCCGTAGGTTTGGCTTTTGTTCTTTTGTTTTTGTGTATTAGGGACGCGTTCCCCTTTTGAACGTTTTTCTAATATATTGTTTACTTATCAAAAAATATATATATAGACAGAATTAGAATCTGTACATGAACTTTGAAATTCATTCACCGCTAAATACTATTGGTTCAATCTGCGTAAGTGGATTGATATTCTTATCACAAGCAAAATTAGATATTCTATAATAAATATTGGGGACCTCACGAAAGATGAGATCGAAGAGAATGCTCTATAGGAGGAACTGCATCATGACCATAGGTGATGGCGAATTGGTCAATTGGACCTTTAGATTTGAGTAAAAAGTAGTCAAAAACCATCTACAACAAAAACTGAACCGTGGTCAGTAGTGTGCCTTTTCGGTAGACATGGACATGTTCCATGGCACGAAGTCTTTAGTTGAAGTGCATATTTCTATTGTTCATCGATAGAGAAACCGTTGGCAGAAACCCATTGTAAGATGGTATAGCAGGAATCCTATTTCTTTTCACTATAGTTAGATTTTGAGGGCTTAACTTCGAAAAGTCAAATGGCAACAACAAAGAAAAACAATAATAATAATATAGCAATAATAGCAACAACAATAGTAAACAGTATGTCTACACTATTTTACAAAAGTATATCACAATAATTACTGCATAAAAGAAAGAGCATACCTCTTCTAGTTCAGCAACAATGTCATCCCGTGCACTCTTCTTTAAAGAAGCAAACTTTTCACGTGCCTGGCTATGATTAATTACAATTAACACGTTGAAGCTTGGAAAAAGAGAATTAATATAAAATATTAACATAAGGAAATACAGGGAAAAAAAAAAAAAAAAAAAAAGATCAAATTCTGAAGTCATGCGTAAAAAGTAAGAATTTGCATGGATAAATTGTATTCATGAATCCAAAAACTTTGACCTAATTATTTTCGTAATATTAACAACGTACAGAAATAGAAAGCCCGCCTTCTTAGTCAAACTAAAACTATTTAAAAATTACAACTGTTGTGTCGGTGTCTCGGATTATCCTTCCATTCATATTTCTCCACCAAACTTAACTTACCCAATGGGCCCAAACGGACCTCCAAACAGAGCTAGTGGTGCCTGTTATGCCTGAAACGGTGTCCAAATCAATGATACAAGCAACTTGACATTTCAATTGGCATGACTACCCCAAAGTATGATAGTTGTGTGTACTACAGGAGACAATGCAATGGGTTTGTTGACATGTCCATTGTAGTGAAAGATTTGTTTGAATCAATAAAATGAAAACTCAGCTCCTTAGTAGGTTAATAATCTTTGGAATGATTTTCCTGTTTGTGTTTTGTGTTTATTCACTCTGGCATGATATTAACCACATACATAAATATTAAATGGATGATGGAAGTGACTAAAAAAGATAGGGTCAATAATCAACATGTGAGGGACAAACTAAGAGTGGTGCCATAAAGATAAAATAAGAGAAAGTAAACCTGAGTGGTATGGTCATATACGACAAAAACCCTTGAATGCACTGGTAAGAAAAGGTAGATTTATTGCATAGAAAGTAAAAGACAAAGAGGCCAACCAAAACTCACGTGGATAAAGTAATTCAAAATTAATTCAAAAAATTAAACATAATTGGAGACAAGGTTTGTAATAGAAAATAATGGAAAAAGAGAATCCATGTGGCCGAACCCATTCGTATGAAATAAAGGCAAAAATAATGATGATGATATTAATATTAAATTGATACAATTCACCAAACATCTCCCACCTGTTACTTGCTTGAATATATCCAATTAAGCAAAATTACAATCAATAACCTAAACTATTGATATCTCCAAGCAGTTCTTACCATTGTTGCACAACCTTTTATTCTTTTTCTTGAGGAATTTTTGGGATGAATAGGTGAATGCCAAAGTTGTCCAAACGATTTCTAAATGTTAGAACTTAGTGCCTAGTGTGTTGTCAAATTTAGTAATAAAGGCCTTGTGTTTTATTTTTTTCATATTGGATTAGTTCCAATGACAACTGAGTCAGGAGGAGAAATGTCAACAAATTCATGCCACATGAAGAACTTTCACAAAGCAGGAGGTGATTGAAACTACGTAGTACCAAAATTAGGGCCCTTGCATTTCGCATTCTTTGGCATGCCTATTTTTATAACATGTTGAGAAAGGTTTTGAGTGTCAAAGAGGATTTTAAAACCCACTGAAATGAGTTTTGGACTTAACTTCCAAACTGCAGTAAATTAGAATCAGTACTAAATTTGTTAGTACAGGTACTAACAGAAGAGAAGAAGAAGTCGTATTCTCTCGTTCAGTTTGTTAAAGTGATACTAAATACCAAAGAAATATAATTTATACCCCAAACTAACTAAAGAATAGAAAGTACAACATTCCCTCAATAATAAAACTAAACTTCAAACCTTTTTTTTTTTTTTGATAAGTAAAGATGTATTGAAAGGCATTCACAAGGGCAATGCATCCCTCAGAAAATACAAAAGGCCAAAAAGGGCCTCTAAACTAAGAGTCCAAAAATCAATTATCTCATCCATGGATTTACAATATCTCCCAAGAACCCAACAAAAAAGAGTGTTAATAATGGTGAACTTCAGCATGCCAATAGTAGTCTCCTTTCCTTCAAAAGATCGCCTATTTCTTTTCAAGCCATAAATGCCACCAGATGCATAAAGGCGTGGCCCTCCAGAAATCACGAGCTTCGACCCCTACTACACACCCACTCCAAGCCTCACCCATGCCTCTAGACGACCTGGGCATAACCCACTGAACCCCGAACAAAGACAACATCAGAACCCAGCAGTCCCAAGCAACTAGGCAATGCAAAAGAAGATGATCAACTGTTTCCTCATTTCTCAAACACATGCAACAACAATTGACCACAACATGTCTCCTCCTTCTAAGATTATCCTGAGTCAAAATCTTCCCCAAAACAGATGTCCAAGCAAAGAAGGCCACTTTGAGAGGAGACTTAGAAGCATCAAGAGGTTTGCCTAGAAGAAACTGAAAATGAACGATAGTATGGGACTTTGTGAAGAAGTCAGCCAACTGCATAGTAGAAGAAACAAAGGGCAAGGAGATATTTCCAAGCTGAAGGTGATGACGCACATAATGTGAAGCAGACAGAAAAGAACACAAGTCTTCTTACAGTAACAAGGAAGACTAGGAATACTCCAATCACCGTTGGAGCCTAGATTTCTAAAGGTAATCTGGGAAAAGCCTGAAGAAACTGTTTAAAATCTAATAATAAGTCAAAATGTATTGATTATGAATTGGTTCAGCAGATACATAAGGCTGTCCCCTTTTATAACATTTTCAGATTAATGATGACTTCTACTATTCCATAACATTTTCCCATATCATAATTACTCCTTAAAACTTTGACTAGACACTTTCCAAGACTATTAATTATTATTTGAATCAGACCCTCTTCCTTGAAGAAAACTAGACCTTGAGTTTGAAACAATTTACCACGATCAATGAAAAACCCGAGTAAAACCTTCCATGTTTCTTTCTTCTTTTCCATGCTCGATCAAAGCACAAGCAGCTTTTGTTACTGACAGAATAACTTTGAACGAACTTTCAGAGCTCTCTTGTGAAATTTCCAAAACTTGCTTGATGATAGATCATGAATGAAGACTTGGACTACTCTGATTTTTATATTGGAGCAACTCCTAGCAGCATATCGGGCCAAGAACCCATCCCAAATCAAGTCGTGCATATGGAATCCATATTAGTCAAATCCATGAATGAAGAAGCTTTATTTTTAACGAAATTATTCAAGAAACTTAAACTTGATATAATGCCTAGTGGTAGTTCAGTGTTTATATCTTCAGATTGCCCAACATGAGAAGACTTTGCTGGATCAGATTTATTATCTTTACTCTCAATAGCTGCTGAAAAGATGAACTGAATTTTTTTCTTATAAGCAGTAGCAACATCCCAAGCCTTAGTTGTCTTGTCCTCTCCACAAGTTATGAGGCATAACTTTGGTTTGGATGAGAGAAAGCAAGATCAACATAAGCATCAATCTCTAGGCAGAAGCAACATCCCAAGTCTTAGTTGTCTTGTCCTCTCCACAAGTTATGAGGCATAACTGTTGGTTTGGATGAGAGAAAGCAAGATCAACATAAGCATCAATCTCTAGGTCGTTTTGTATATCCTTACCAGCACGATAGGAAGATGTCTGCACAATGTGCTAGGAATTCCCAACATCCAAAAGGATGCCATCAGGACTCCATATCACTCTCTTCACTGATGCAGGATACTCATTGGCCAAAGATGCTTGTAGAGTCAATGAACATGATCCAAGATCACAGACCTTGAAATTTCTAGAAGCAAACTCCTCCCTACCACCAACTTTCCATGATGCAACATCACCACCGTTCGTTGCAACAAGAAACAGAGTTTGTTGCACTGGACAGAAAATTCATGCTCTTGACAGCAAATGCCTGATTCAGTTTTGCAACTTGAGTCTTGGGCAAATAAGCAGAAGAATACAAGCGATCAGCAGAACCAGGATTTGCGATAGGCAAGATGTCAACAGGAAAATTGTTGACAACTCCATGACGCGCAGGTTGAACAATGACTGCTTCTTCAACTTTAGACAACTTGTTAATTGCTTCCTTAGATTTGTTCTCTTTTCTCTTACCTGCCTTTTTATCCTCAATCTCAGATTGGTTGTGGGCTGATTGATCTTCAGTTGTTACATTGTTCAATTCAATTGCATCACTTGAATTTCTTCTATCCCCATGCAAATCAACACCATTATTCACTAAAGAAATTTCATCTTCATGTTCCTCCTCTTATGTGGCATCCACAAAATCAACATAATTTCCAATGTTGCAATTATCAAAAACTAGTGAACTCTTGGCAAACTTGTATCCTGAACCTTCGCATGTGCAGGACCAAAATTCAGATTCTTGAGCATGGTTCACCACTGCTGTCCAAGTGTTTTGTGACTGTTTAACTGATGTGGCAGCAGCCAATTTTGCACTTTTGAACTTTTATGCTGTTGACTTCTTTTTCTAGTAAGTTGTTCAATCCAATTTTCACTCTTGAATTGCTTATGCTGCTGAATTCTTTCTCTAGTAGGTTGTTCTGTCCAATATTTTCATCCATTTGCCGATCCCTTTCTCTCCGATCCTCCAGATTCCCTCCAGTCCTGTTAGGCTAAAATGCCTTTAAAATGTAAATAAGGTTACTAATCCAAGCTTCAAGTTCAGAGCGGATAGCAGGCCGTGGGCTTTGTACATCAACATTCACATATAGGGGCACCCCTTCTCCAGTAGTGTTTTCACGATTTCCTCAACAGAGGATAAATGATTCCATATTGGTCAAATAGAGTGCTCAGTCGAGAAATTTGATGTTGCAGATTTTTTTGCTGATTTTTAAAGTTTCGAAAGTCTTCTTTTGTGGCTATCTTGCTTCCTTGCCTAGTGTCACGGGCTTAGAGTTTCAGCACCACTCTAGCCAAACCCATGCGGCAGCAAGGCGTTGCTTCTACTCACACAAGCACTTGGTCAGCCTAACTCCCATGCACACCTTAGCCAACACACTCCCCCCGTGCGCTTACTAGTGTCACAGTGGCCCTTGCCCTCTCCTCACTAGGCTTCCACACTCACACACACTTAGGCACAATTTAGTTGGCAAGGAGAGAACACTTCTATTACTTCAAAGAATGCTTTGTACAAGGCTAGCTACTCAATCTCTACAAGACTCTTAAGACTCACTCTAGGACTTGATGTCTACAAAATGAAGTCCTACTCCTATTTATGGGCATCCCCTTCCCTAATGGACGGCTAAGATGCATTCTAACCGACAGTGAAGATCGATTCTCTAGAATCTTCTCCCACCTTCTTCATACTTCCAGACATATCTACAAGTATCTACACATATCTACAATATTCTGCACAATTCTAGAATCCTCCATACTACTCTAGATAACTCGGAAGACTCTAGAAACTCCTCTCACCATGTAGTCGCCATGCAGCGTCCTACACAGCGCTTGAGTGTCGCCTGCGTGGCATAACCTCCATCGGCGGAGCGTGACACTAGCCATAGATCCACAGTAATCACAGATCTTAAAGAAAGTCTCTGATACCACTTGAAGCAAACAAAAAAGAACACAAGTCTTCTTACAGGAAGTCTAGGAATACTCCAATCACCGTTGGAGCCTAGATTTCTAAAGGGAAATCTGGGAAAAGCCTGAAGAAACTATTTAAAATCTAATAATAACACAAAATATATTGATTATGACTTGGTTGAGCAGATACATAGGGCTGTCCCCTTTTATAAGTCAAGTATTAATGACACTTGTTTTTCCTAGACTGACTTTCAACCTACCCACAAAACATTAATGATGACTTCTACTATTCCCATAACATTTTCAGATTCCCATATCATAATTACTGCATAAAACTTTGACTAGACACTTTCCAAGACTATTAATTATTATGTGCATCAAAATGACAATCAATCTCTATATGCTTTGTGCAATCTGAATGGCACTCTTGTTATCACAAAACATTGTATTAGGAACAGAACGAGGAACACCCATATCATCAAGTAACCAATGGAGCCATAGTAGCGGCCATGGCATGATCCTCAGCTTTAGCAGAGGAGCGAGCAACAACAATTTGCTTCTTAAATTCCCAGGAGATCAGTTACCAAGAAAAACACAGAAGCCAGTAGTTGACTTGCGATCAGCAGAGTCTCTGGCCCAGCCAACATCAGAAAAGGCCCATCCAAAGCAGAAGTGGAAGCAAACTAGTAAAGTACCCCGAAGATAGCGCAAAACATGAAAAACTGAAGCCCAATAATAGTAGTAGAAGACACAAACTGACTAACAATATGAACTGCATAAGCAAAGATAAGGCCGCGTAACTGTGAGATACACTAAACTACCAACAATAACTCGATATTAATATTATGTTTATTGTTAGAGGTAAATCAAAACTATGAGCTCCAAATAAAGGACATTTGCCTCAAAAAAATTGACACAATTATCACCATGTAAACTGCCATTCCATAAATGATTCTTCCATAATGCATCTTTGTATGTATGACAATGATCAAACTTCAGAAAATAACTACATTTAACATGTATAAGTGATGTTGACGATTTGCACTAACATTACCTAAAACAAATTGTTCTAGTACATAAAGTGGGATTGTGAATATTGTACATGCATATTCGAAAACATGATATTGCAAGGGTACATAGTTGGAAAGTATTTGAGGTTCTCAACTCCAGAGTGATGTTCTATTAACAAGTACACAATTAGTGGAACATAATGTCATTACAATGTACAACCGTATGTTTACTGTAGAAGTTTGTTTTGTTGGAATCAATCATGTCAATTGTCAAACCATAGAATCTAGGACATCCTACATAGAGTTGAACAATAAAAGTTACAAAACTATCATATAAATTTATATTCAATGGAAGAGATTATATGTAATACATCATACAACAATTAGTTATATATATATATATATTGCTTCGATTATGAATATATGTTCTAATTTTAATAGTATACAAATTTCTACACTAGTAACTACATAAAAGATAAGGTTAACATCATAACGCCAAAAGCTATTATAACTTGTGGACTTGAATGAAAGCATGATTGTCTACATATTAAACACTATTCCACTATTTCCAAATCAGATCAGCATAAGGCCCCCCCCCCCCCCCCCCCCCCCCCCCAAACCCACCCAAAAAAAAAGGGTAAGCAAAAACCACTCTCCAGTCATAACTAGGCCTTGTATCTTAATTCCATTTTTATGTTTCAATTTAAGGCATACAGGTCAAGAAAAAATATTTTGTGGTGTCTCCATTACCTGGTCATAAGCATACATAGCTTTGTCAAATCGATGACGGGAATCCTGCAAAACAAAGAAGCCAACCTATGAGTAACATGAAACAAGTAAAAACGTTAAATAATAGGGTAAAACTCAAAAAAAAAAAAACCCGAACCATGTTTGAATTTGCAAATAACCCTCTTAAACTATGTTTTGTGCATAATACCCCCTAAACTATCACATTTTGTTGCAAAATACCCCAATGCCTATACTATATTTCATTAAAGACCATAATGCCCCTTCTTATTGAATTACACTTAATCTATTTTTCTTATTTAAATAAATAAATTTGGTAAGTAAGAATTTATAAAAAGGCGTTCAAAAGGGGAACGCATCCCTCAAAAACAAAAGGAGGCCAAATAGGGCCTCTAAACCCTCATTAGATCCAAAAACTCTACAAGCTCATCCAAGGATTTACAATTTCTTCCTAAAACCCAACAAAAAAGGGTGCTAAGAATAGAGAATTTCAGCGACCCAATATGATTTTCCTTTTCATCAAATGATCTCATATTTCATTCAAGCCATAGACACCACCAGACGCACAAAGGAGTGACTCTCCAAGAGTCACGAGCTTGGGCCCTCACTATACAGCCTCAATCGAGCCTCTGGTACACCGTGGCATAACCCAATGAATCCCAAACAAACCCAAAAACATTAGCCAACAATCTCGGGCCACTGGGCAATGTAAAAGAAGATGATCAACTATTTCCTCGCCATTTTTGCAATGTAACACCAATTCACTACGATAATATTAAATTGATAACATATTCTCTATTAAATTTGCATAAATTTACCTTTAATTATTGAAATTAATTGTTTAAGAAAAAATCTTTAGTAGAAAATTTTTAGAAAATTTAATTAATTTTTTTAATTTTTAATGAATATATTACATGAAAAGAAGGTATTTTTTATTTAAATAATCTATTAATTGTTCATCAATATATTGCATAAAAAAGAAGATATTTTTTATGGTAAAAAAGTTTAAACTAGTTATAATAAGTTTAAATATATAATAAAATTTTAAAAATAAGTTAATCATTTAGAAAATGGTAGTTACAAATCTATTTATCTTTTTTTTTTATTATTGTAAATTGATACTAATAATAAATTTAAGATATATAGTATAATTAATATTTAGATAAGAGAAGGAAGGGATGGCGAGGGAGAGGGGAAGGACTAGGAGTGGGAGGAGGGGAGATGATTTTTCCGGCCTGTTAATGAAGCTACGTATTATTTCCTGGAACGTCTGCGGTCTCAATGATCCGGACAAAAGGAGGGTGGTGAAGGTAGATTGGAGAAAGTGGGATGCCCATGTTGTCTGTTTGCAAGAAAATAAGTTGGCTGCGATGACGGATGGGGTGGTTAGAAGTCTTTGGGGAGGAAGGTTTGTTGAGTGGGAGGCCCTTAATGCTACAGGGACTTCTGGTGGTATCTTAGTTATGTGGGACTAAAGCGGATTTTGCTGAGATTGCCAGCATGGAGGAGATTTCATGGCGTCAGAAGTCTCGGGCCTTATGGCTCAAAGAGAGGGATCGTAACACGAAATTTTTTCATAGGCTTGCAAATGCCCATAGAAGAAACAATCATATTGGGCGAATCCGTGTGGATAGTCTAGAGTTGTTGAGGGAGGATGAGGTTCGTAATGGGATTACTTCCTTTTATCAGAGGCTTTATACTGAGCCGTTACGTTGGAGACCTAGGCTTGACGGTCTTCTTTTCGATACTATTTCTGAGGCGGATAGAGATGGTCTTGAGGCCCCATTCTCTGAAGAGGAAGTCTTGAAGGCTTTGTCGAGCTATAACGGTGACAAAGCTCCGGGGCCAAATGGGTTTACCATGCGTTTCTTGTTGGAAGGCTGGGAGGTGGTCAGAAGCGAGGCCTCTTTTCAGGAGTTTCATTCTCACGGTGTTTTCGAGAAGTCGTTAAATGCCTCTTTTATTGCCCTCATCCCGAAGAAGGGCGGAGCTTTTGATATTAAAGAATTCAGGCCAATCAGCTTAGTGGGCTGCATTTATAAACTCATTGCTAAGGTTCTTGTTCTTAGAATGAGGGAGGTGTTGGATGCAGTTATTTCAGAGCCCCAGAATGCCTTTGTTGGAGGTCAGCAAATCCTTGATTCAGTTCTTATTGCCGGTGAATGTGTGGACTCCAGGCTAAGGAGCAGCATCCCCGAAATTCTATGCAAACTGGACATTGAAAAAGTTTATGATCACGTCAACTGGAGCTTCCTGTTGTACATGCTTCAAAGGATGGGTTTTGGATGTAGATGGAGGAGATGGATTGAGACATGTATTTCGTCCATCAAGTTCTCTGTTCTTATGAATGGGTCACCTGCTGGTTTCTTCGAGAGTTCTCAGGGGTTGAGACAAGGTGACCCTTTGTCGTCTTTTCTCTTTCTCATCGTTATGGAGGGTTTAAGCAGATTAATGAGGGAAGAGGACTTGGGTTTTATTAAGGGATTCAGGGTGGGTAGAGATTCTTCTCAACAGATTGAGATATCTCATTTGTTGTTCGCAAACGATACTTTGGTTTTTTGCGATGCTAATGTGTAACGACCCGAACCCGGGGGTCCGAATCGCTATCCGGGTCCTTACCCGAGCCAGAGGTCATCTAGGGGCCTTACTGTCATTTCTAATGTTGATACATCATTAATATACCATGCCGAGTTTCATAGCATTACGTAACATCATCATGTGGCTTGAAAATAGAAGCCAAGGGAAGAAAATAAGCAAGCTGCACAATAGCTACTTCAGTCATCTGAAGTGGTTATTTCAGCCGTCCGAAATGACTATTTCAGTAGTCCAAAATAGCCCAACCGGTCTGCTGGTTGTGAGTCTAAAACAAGGTTGGCTACTGGAATCCGTCTGAATTGCAACCGGTCATCTGGAATGGTCATTTCAGTCTTCCGGAATGGTCATTTCGGTCGTCTGAAATGACCCTGAGGAAGACCCTTCGTTTGCAAAACTGCTATAAGCTAAAAAAGCTTAATGGCCTCACTTAGGGCCTTAAAAATGGTTAAACCTATCCCAACGCATGGCAAGATAATACATACAACGTCCCAAATCATACACATCAATAAAACATTAGAAATAACTCAATTCCCATCCCATCCATTCCATATAGCAGCATAGATCATACATGAATCAATGGCTGTTACAAAACAATTTAATTTACATCAAAATACTACCAAGAGTTCATGATTCCAAATACAAGGCCATAATTTACAAGTTGAAACATCCCATTTTAATACTTTACAAAGGAACGAAATCTAAATACAAAAGATAGAAAAATAAGCTTCTAATCCCGTCTAAGCCTGTGGTGGAACGTCGTCCGCCACTTCCTTCCCGTGTCCTGAAAATAGTAAAGGGGTGAGCTGCAACAGCTCAGTAAGAGGTGCCTAAAACACACCTCTTAATGACCCCATGAATCCAAACAAAGCATAGAATGAAGAAGTACGGGATCATACCATTCCGGGGAAAATATAACAACAACATCAACAACAACAACAACTAAGCCATAAGCAAGTAATGCCATGCTAATGGAATGCAATGATATGCCATGTCGCTCCCCGTTTCCAAAACATTTCCGTTTTTCCATTCCAAACCGTTAATGCAACCCGGCAATGGCAACTCCATGGCGCCACGAGAGAAGGGCTGGCTAGCTATCCCTAACCACAAGGCAACTCCAAGGCGTCAGTTTGGGCCTAGATAGCTCAACCATGCTAGGGTCTCTCCCTAATTTCCTCTAGATCACATTAACGCCACAGACCACTAGGCAACTCCCAGGCGCCCGGGTTTTCGCAAACCACTTTTCAAAATCTTTCCCTAAAACGATTTCATTTCTTTTCAAAACAATTTTCCCATTTTTTGCTCAATGCCATGCATGAATGCATCATGCCTTTCGATGCCATGTCAAATATACATTTTCATATATCTCATTCAAACCTTAAGCACATAACATGCTTAACAAGAAAATTCTCATAGAAACATATCATGCTTTCTAATAACAAGAATCCGGCACGTTAAGCATATAAGACATGAAATAATTTCATATAAGCATGCTTTTTACACAATACATCAATTATCACATAGACATGCATATCATACACAATATCATAATCATGTTTCAAGAAATCGCTTCAATTGAATATGCAATACCTCAAATATTGAGAGATGAATCACAAAAATCAAAGAGATCATGCCTTAGAAATCCCCTACCTTAAAATAGAAGAAAAGCCCCAAAATACACCCAAAATTCAAAATCCCAAAGTGCTCCGAATAAAGAACGGCTCCGATCAAATCGCAGCCCTCACCAAGCTTGTCACCTTTGCTTCAATGGCAAAGTTGAAATCCAAGTGGAAAAGGGGGAAATCAAAGCTTAAATGGTGTAGATATAGAGAGAGAGAGTTTACTTATTGAGAGAGAAAGCTAGCCACGGTTTTAAAGAAAGAATGATCAGAAAATGGGTTATGTAATAATGTGTGGTAAGCTTAGTGCCATGTGGGGCCCATCTAAACAAATATCTCTTTTGCTTATATATAAACATATACACTAAACACATTACAACCACATAAATAACCACAAAGCCGCATAAGAATACATCAAATAATGATGTATGAAATGCAATAATCCCGAAAAATAATTCCTGTGCACTACAACTCCAATTACGGGTCTCGCCCGGGACCTCCGGGCCCGAAAGACTGAAAAATGTCGAAATGGCAAACGATGCATTTCTAAGAGTCCCTAACTCGAAGAAATGCCCAATCGACCCTCGGAACCCATCCGGCTCACCCCACGGTGTCTGGCATGCAAAACAAGGAAATAAATAAAATAATCCCAAAAAATCAAAAAAAATTCCAGAAAATAGAAAATATAAAAATGAGAAATACTACATGATGTGTCCCAATTGAGATATTTGAGGTGTATCCTTGCTTGTTTTCAAGCGGTTTCTTGGCTGAAAGTTAATGTTGGTAAGAATGTGCTTGTCCCACCTGGACACTGTGCGAGCGCTCGCACAGTGTCCTCCGAGCGCTCCCAGGTCCACTTAAGGCACCTTTTTTTCATTTCATCTTAATGTTATTTTTAGGCGTTTGTATACAGCATTGAGGTCAAGTATTGATTCACGAGACTAGAATGGACCTATTCATCTATAGTATGGTGTCATAACGACCATTTTACCCCTAGTTCTTCATAATGACTGTTTTGACCTTCGCTTCCACATTCGTGTTAGTTAGGACCTTTTTGTCCTTAGTTTCCGCAGTAGTACCGGGTTTGGGTCTCGTTGACTCTAATTGTCGTTCTATTGTTGCCTTAGAGATAGCTTTCATCTCTAGCGGCATCTTCCCTTGTTCTTGCTCCCGCATTCCGAACTCGGTATTGGGCCAGGGTTTTGGGGCATTATCGATGATGCAACGGATCATGGGATTCGGGGCATCACAATAACTCTCAGCTCGGGTATCAGATTAAAGCAAACCCAAATGTTTCGGAAAGCTAATCCATAGAGGGATGTATTTGTATTTCACAAAGAAGCCCTAACTCCGATCTTTAAGGGGTGAAAATCACGTATCAAAGTGGACCCAATAGTCTGCGCGAAAATTACACCAGTTATGATAATTTGACCATAACTTTTTACTTAGTCCTCATAATGGCGTGAAATCAGCGGCTATGGAAAGATTACTTGAAGCTCAAGATGTTTGTATTTCACGAAGATTTTATAAATCATACTCCAAATTAGTCAAAATTGGGCTCCAAGTTATAGCAATTATGGAAAGAAGATTTTGGCAGATTTTCATTTCCTATCTATTGCTTCTTTTGGAAAACCCTAGAGGATCTCTGTATAAGAGTAAGTATAAGCAGCCGAGACGAGAGGGAAAAAGAGTTACAGAAAAACATAGAGGATTGGCGGCTAAGGAACTCGTGCAACTAACAGAGAAACCACAGAAAACCTACTTATGATTCCAAGTTTGGTAGTAATCAATTTATTTTTCATGGGGTTCTAACTAGGAAGCACGAACACACCTAAAAGGGCAAAGAATCCGTGTCGGACACCGACACGCCCCGACACATGTTGAACACGCCAAAATACGTGTCCGAATATTTTATATTTTTTCGAATATCCGAACACGCTGTGGACACGCCATGGATATGTGTCCGACACGCGTGTCACTCTTTGGGAATTTTTAAGAAAGTTCTAAAAACAATGTTGAGTTGAAGTGTAAATATTAGGAGTTGTTTAATTACATAATTACTTAAAAACTTGTTCTTTCATAAAACAATTTTATATTCAAACAATTAGATATTTATTCTTATATTTTAGTTTAAAGGTTCGAACCCTTGCACAATCCTTTTGGCTATCTTGTTGTCCCACCAACCAAGCTTTCCTACCAGTGAATGGTCTCTCTATCTCTCTCCCCTCTTTCTCCTCTTTTTTCTCTTATTCTTCGTCGTCCTCTTTTCTTTCTTGTTCTTGTTCTTCACAAACCCTAAATACATTTTTTTTTTCCTTTCACAATAAATTTCTTTTCGTCTCTTTTTCCTTTTTCCTCTATATTCCCCATGAACTTTTTTCTCTTCTATGGATTCTTATCTTTCTTTTTCTAACAAAACCCTAATTCTCTGTCTCTCTGTTTTTTTCTTATTTTTTTTCTCTTTCTTAACCATCTTTCTATCATTCTTTCTTTTTTCCAGCAAAACACATTTTTTTTTCATTATGAGATTGTAAAAAGTAATATTAATCTTAATTTCTTAAAGTACAACATCATATATATAGAAAATATATTTCTTATTTGTCATGTCCCCGCCATGTCCGTGTCCTAAGTTTTTAGGATTTGCCATGTCACTATATCCGTGTCGTGTCATATCCGTGTCTGTGTCCATGCTTCTTAGGATTCTAATCTCTCAGCCAAGGCTAAGAGGAAGCCCTAACCATTGTAACTCTACTGTTTTCAACTGTACATTTATTGAATGTTTATTTGATGAATAAATCTTTTTCTCTATTTCAAATGCATGTTTCAACTCAATTAATTTTATGTGCTTGACCATAGACTAGGATTAAACTTTGGCATAAAGGTTGTTTGTCTAACATGCCTAGGCTTAACAGCCTCGAGGATGTTTCCTAGGGGTTTTACCTTGTATATCCTTGTGTTGTGTGATTTCTGTTTAGCACTCTATCAAACACTTGCTGAAACTGTTCAAGTTCATTCTATTAGAGACCTTTCACTCCATACAAGTTCTATACCTAGTTTAAAATCCTTCTAGAACCAATTCACCCCTCCCTTCTTGGTTATTCAGAGCCAAAATCCAAATGAAAAACCTCTTATTCTTTTTTCTTTTTCTTTTTTTCTTTTTTTTTTTTTTTTTTGGGGGGGGGGGGAGGTTTCTAAAGATTTAGATGCTATGCTGGAAAGCACAACAAATTAGGAACTTAAAAAATGCTTCCTGTGATTATTTTTATGGTAAGCTAAAGTCAGCATAAGGTTGTAAGTTAAGGGTTTCAATAAGTGGAAGTATAAAAGGGGTTGGAATTGGCTTCATTCTGAAGGCGATTGGTTGTAGAAAATCCAGAGGGAGGGAGGGAAAGGTGTATTGGAATCTCTAGACAGAAAGTATTTGAGGTTTTAGTGTTAAATGGAAAGTGAATAGTTAGAGCAAAGAGTTAGGGTCTACTAGGGCTGGTAATGCAGAGGTTTAGGACAAAATACTGACCATTCTGGGACTATGAACAGTAATTAAGAAGAAGAAGGAACCACAAATCTCATCAAGAATTCCTTAGGACCCACCCCAAGAGTTAGGCTACAAAAAAAAATTATACAACCTCAAATTTTCATAGTCAAATGTATATTAAATTAAAACTATTATGGATAATTTTTTAGGCTGCCGAACTACTAATTCTACTAGAATCTGATATAGGAATTTAGAATTACAAGGACCATTCTAGACCTACTCAATAAAATAAATTGACCCACAAGACAACCCATGGACCAACACTGCAGCCTATGTTTAGCAAAACTGGAAATTACTGAAGTATGCTTGATTCCTAAAACATAAAATAAAAACATAACAGCAATATATGAAATTAAAAGTAACTCAAAAATAAGAAAAAATTGAACATAAACACAATTACACTAATTGATCCAATCCTCAACCATGTTCCACATAAAATTTCCAACTAGCCAATTTTCATGTTATCATGTGCTGCATTATATGTTTTGAGTCCTATACTTATGAATGCTTCATTTAATAATTCATGCCACCATAGAAATGAATTAGATGGGCTATTTTGGTCTTTCAACTTTCTTTTACGTATGCATTAATTAAAGGTTCTCTAAAAAAAACAAAAAAACAAAAAACAAAAACAAAAATAAAAGTTGTTACCATCTCTTACAAAGTGATATTCAATTAGTTGCAGCTTTAGAGCTTTGCTTGATATTGTGATTGTCTTGGTTCTATCTTCTTCCTCTTCCATTAGTCGCTCTTACTACTTCTCAACTTCTAAGTTTCATTCTCTTCATCCTTTGTCCCAGATTTCCTTTAATTAAACACTAGCTGTTTTTAAGCAAAGTAACTTAAATACTTGTGAACTAGTAAAAAAATCCTCTACAAATCCCCAATCACTCTTAACCAGTTACAGTATAACTCCAAAGCACACTCTTAGTTATAGTGCTGTAATTTCAAAAGTCCCGCATCATGAAACTTTAAAGACTTTGATAAGCAAAAAGTTGAACTATATTCTCTAAATGTTTTATATATAACAACACATGAAATCTAGGGTTTGCATCTTGCAAAATTCAGGAATCTTTTCAATATTATTCTTACATATAAAATTATTTTGTGATGAAATTATTACCATTAAACAAGCAGCCATCTGACATACCAATTAGTATTTAAAGCCTATCAGTATCTATTGTAAAAGAGCAATTTCATAACAGCACCAATGGAGCAAGGGTACCTTTGCATATTGCAGATCAACTGACAAAAAGTGCATCAAACGATCAATCAGCACATGCTCTACCTGTAAACCCAATATCCAAATCGCATTTCAAATTCATAAAATGTTAGCATCTAAAACACCCTGCCATTGTGAAAAAGGGTACCAGAGTCCCCTTCTTGAAATATTTGGCTATATAATCAAACAGGTCTAATATCAGCCTCAAGTATTAAAGAACTGCCACAATTTTTTTCTTCGGGCTCTTTTGTTTTTTTTTAACATTCTACATATAGCAGGGCTACTGGCTTTTTGGCTTCTCTAGAAGAGGGACAAAAGATTCCAAACTATATCTCTTTGTGCTCTTCCGGTCTCATCATTAGTGTATTGTAATATTAACACAAAAAAAAAAAAAAAAAAAAGAGCTGTAAGCAAATAAAATGACATAATTGCAGGACATTTATATAGTCAAACGCCAATCCAAAATCAGTACGTCCATGCAGGAAGTTTTACTTAAAATGTTTCAATCGTGTGGTTACAATCATCTCGTTTCTTGCAATATTTTAGGGTACCAGAAAAAAGAGCAATTAGAAAGAAAGCATTAAATGGATATGATCATCAGCATCATCATCATCATCCTTGCCTTATTCCCATTTGAATGGGTCGGCCACGTGAATTCTCAATATCCACTCCTTTCTATTACCTACCATATCACTTACCATATTTAACTTTTTTAAGCCATTTCTAATAACTTCATCCCACGTTATTTTTGCTCTCCCTCTCCAACTCTTACCTTCTATGGATATTAAACTTCCTCTTCTCACCGGTGAATTCTAATAAAATGGATATGATCGTCCAAATCAAATCAAGTGAAATTTGAAAAACCTATCTCCAAGAGATATAGAAATATGGCCCAGAACAGCATGAATAAACCTGATATGTCATTTGCAGAGGAATGTCAAACTGTGCTCCTCTCTATCATGGAAAGGAGAGGGCAAATCCTTCAATGCTGCTTAGTTTAGGCCAAAATCATGCTACCAGTATGTCTCAATTGCATAATTCAGCAAAACATATATATATATAACACACACACACACACATGTTTGAGTGTGTGTAACAAGTAGATGCTCCAAGAAGAGAGGTAAACTGTTGATGTGGGTTCTTTATAAGTAACATGAGGCATCACCCACAACATAGTAGAGATCCGAAGTAGACTGAGTGAGAGGCGAACTTAAGAGAGGGAGAGTGTGGCAGTGTGCAAGTAGTTCACCATTGACTCCCTTGGTGAAGGTTTAGAGGGTGTGGTGAGAGAGAAAATTGGGTTAGAGAGCAAGACAGCTTAGACTGTGGGTGGGGTTTCTCCTCCATTTCTTCTCTCCTTTGACCTTGGTAACATGTCCTTTTTATAGGTCAAATGTGAGGGTGGGTGATGTCAAGCTAGGCTAAAAAATATAAGTTTAGTATAACGATAAAAAGGAAAAGAATACAAGGTAATAGGAGACAAGGATAGAGTGTGTAATTGTAGATGCAATAGGCTGGTTATTTATAAATAATGTTAATATGGTCAGGTAGGCTGGGGATAGGATCTATAGGAGTCAAAAATGGCTCTCTCTCTCTCTCTCTCTCTATACAAGTCAGGTCAGTGGTCTGCCTTCTAGACGGGCCAAGAGCTATATTTATATACAAGAATAGGATACAAAGAAAGGAAACCAAATCAAAGAAAAATAGGAAATAGCCAAAATCTACGTGATCCCAAGATTATGTGGATCTTATCTACGTGATCCCATGATAATAAGGATCTTATATAAAACACCTAATAAAAGGCTGAAAACAGCTAATAAAAATAAAAATAATAATAATAATAATGATAATAATAATAATACAGATTTTTCAACACTCCCCCTCAAGCTGGAGTGAAGATATCAATCAAGCCCAGCTTAGTAATCGAGGAATGAAGCAAAGATGTACCAACGGATTTGGTGAACACATCCGCCGACTGATTAAAGAAGCGAACAAAGCACGGATTGATAATCCTTGATCGAACCTTCTCTCTGATAAAATGAATGTCCACCCTATATGTTTAGTCCTCTCATGAAGAACAGAATCTGAAGCAAGCATGATGGCTGACTTATTATCACAAAACAAGTCTGAGGACTGTTTTTCACTTAGCCCTAGTTCCTCCAAGAAAGATCGAAGCCAGAGAATCTAACAAGTACCCTGGGCCATGGCACGATACTCAGCATTTGCTGAAGATCTCGAAACTACAGGTTGCTTCTTACTTTTCCAGGATATAAGATGATCTCCATAGAAAGTACAGAAGCCAGATGAGGAACGTCTGTCAGTCTTGCACCCAGCATAGTCTGCATCACTGAAACAGGATAACCCAACCTGCCTACTAGAATAATAGAATAATCCAAGTCCAGGACAGAACTTAAGATATAGAAGAAAAAGATATACCGCATCCATATGAGTTGTACGAGGAGCATGCATAAACTGACTCACAACACTAACAACAAAAGACAAATCAGGACAGATGTTGGTAAGATAAATCAATCTTCTTACCAAGTGCTGATACAGCGAGGGATCAGAAAGGAGATCTCCAAAGTCAACCGAGATCTTCATATTAGGATCCATAGGAGTGGAAGCAGGTTTACACCCAAGCACACCCTTGTCTTGAAGAAGATCCAAGATATACTTCCTTTGCGATAAAGAGAAACCCTGTTTAGATCTAGCAACCTCAATTCCCAAGAAATATCTGAGCTGCCCAAGGTCTTTCACATCAAAAGCTTTAGCCAATTGAAGCTTGACTTGAGCAATCCTAGAGATGTCTTTGCCAATAATGATGATATCATCAACATAGACAAGAAAAATGATACATCGACCAGTGAAGGAACGGTGGATAAAACATGTATGGTCAGAATGGCATCAAACAAACTCCATGTATAAAATTACATCACTGAAGCGGCTGAATCTGGGAGATTGTTTTAACCCATACAAAGACTTCCGCAATCGACAGACCTTTCCAACATACTTCCCCTCAGCCCGAAAACCGGGTGGAGGATCCATATAAATAGGCTTAAGAAGATAACCGTTAAGGAAAGCATTCTTCACATCAAGCTGATGAAGAGGCTAGTTGTGAGAGGCAGCCAGCGAGACAAGCAAACAAACTGAGGTCAATTTAGCCACTGGAGCAAAGGTATCATTAAAGTCTTTACCAGGAATCTGAGTAAACCCTTTGGCCACCAAACGGGCCTTATACCAATCAATAAAGCCATCGGCCAGATATTTAACATTGAATACCCATTTGCAACCAATAGTCTTTTCACCAGGAGGGAGAGATACAAACTCCCATGTTTCATTTTGCTGCAGAGCATCCATTTCTACCATCATAGCAAACATCCAGTTGGGATTCCGGAGAGCCTCAGAGATATTTCTAGAATGGAAAGGAATCAAGTTTACTTAGAAAGGCTCGATAAGACCCTGAAAGACCATCATAAGAGATGTACTGCGAAATAGGATGATCAGTACTACAAGCGAATCCAAATCCAGCAGGGGGTTTGCGGTCCCGAATGGAATACCGAGACTCAGGAACAAGGTCAGGGAAATGTAAAGGAGAGAGGAGATGTACCTGAACCTGTATCTAAGGAGGTTGAAGGTAGTGGAGGCAGAGCACAAGGGCGGCGAGAATAAACTTGCAAAGGGGGTAAGGAAACCACAAAAGAAGACTCTTCTTGAAAAATAGGAAGAGGACGATCAAGAGGTGTCAGTAGAAGTTCCCTGCAAGATAGTGTTAGAACCATAAAAATGGGTATGCTCATGACATCAAGAGAATGATACATGTGTTTGTGTACAGGATCATAACATCGGTAACCTTTTGACATTGAAGAGTATCCTAAAAAGATACATTTAATGGCCTTGTCATCAAGTTTAGTACGAGAAGGGCTACGATTCTAAACAAAAGAATGCACATCCAAACACCCGAGGCATGATGGAAAAAAGAGTAATATAAGGTTGAAGCACTTGTAAGGGGGCCTTACCATTTAATACTTTACTAGGGGTATAATTAATGAGAAAAGTAGCTATAAGAACCGCCATGTGCCAGTATGAGTTTGGCACATTCATACCACTTAAAAGGCATCGAACGACTGACATTAGTTGCGGTTTTTACGCTCTGCCACACTATTCTGCTCAGGGGTATATGGACAAGTAAGTTGATGAAGAATACTTTGTTGGTTAAGTTGAGACCGAAACTCATTGCAAACATATTCACTACCATTGTCAGACCTAATATTCCTAACAACAGTTTTATATTGAGTTTTGATCATTTGGAGGAATAGAGTGAACAAGGGAAAAACTTCAAATTTCTTTTTAAGTAAATATACCCATTTGCAGCGGGAATAATCATCAATGAATGTGACATAATAACGATGCCCCGAAAAAGCAGTAACAGGAGAAGAACCCCACACATCAGAATGTATGAGATCAAACATACTAGGTGCACGATGCATATGAGAAATATAACTAGTTCTAGTATGTTTAGAAAGCTCACAAATTTCACATTGAAACTTATTATCCTTACAAGCCGTTATTAATGAAGGAAAAAGCAGACATAAATACTGAAAGTTTACATGCCCAAGGCGAGCATGCCATAAATTTAAAGTCTGAAAAGAAAAATCATAAGATCTAGAAACTGGAAGAACATAGGCTTGAAGGCTTGAAGCAAGTGGAGGAGGTGTCAGTGGAGGATCCCTAAAGTAGAAGAGGTCATCGTGCTCATATCCCTTGCCAAAAATCCTCTTCGAACACAGGTCCTGTAAAACACAGTAATGAGGAAAGAAAATCACTACACAGTTTAATGATTTGGCAAGTTTGCCAACAGATAGAAGATTAAATGCAAAGTTAGGAACATGAAGAACAGATGGTAAAATAATATCAAGGGATAAATGAACATCTCCTTTATTACGAATAATGGTGGTTGACTAACAGCCTAATTAACAGGGGTAACGGGAGTAGAAAATAATGACAACTCACCAATTATGTGATCATTGGCTCCAGAATCCAGAACCCAAGTAGGTTTTCCCGCTTTAACATTAAAAGTAGAAGGAGCACCTATAGCTATAGTAGCCGTGGGAATAGAAAAGCCAGCCCTGGTAGATAAAGCTCCAAACTGCTCCTGAAGCTGACCAATCTGGGATTGTAACTGATTAAGTCCTAAAAAGATGGTTTGAGAGGAGTTGAAGCAGGAGAGACAACAATCTGTGGAGTATACCCACCAATAGTATCGGCTACTACGGCAGTGCGGCCACGGCCAGAAGGACGATTGCGAGAAAATTTCTGCTTTAGTTCGGGATGTAGCTAAAAGCAGCGATCCTTTACATAATCCGTGGCTCCACAATGTTGACAAATAACCTTTCCCTCTGAAAGTTTAGAATTAGCAGCAAGAGCTATCTGATCAACTGGAGTCTCTGGTAAAGCTACTGGCTGAGAGATCTGACGTCTTTGCTCCTCATGGTCAACAGTAGCGAAGGCATCATATAAATCAGGCATATGAGCAATGTTTATGATCTGACTTCTAAGAGCATCATACTCAAATCGTAAACCCATCAAAAACTGGTAGGTATGCTGGTGATCCAGTCAGAGTCGCAACTTCTTCAGAGAAATCGGAGAGAGGTTCATATTGTGCTAATTCTTCCCACCTAGACTGGAGGTACCCAAAATACTCTGATACTGACAGCTTGAGTCTCTTGAGATGCATGAGCAATCTCCTGATAGAGTTCAAAGATACGAGCGTCATTGCGGGAATGGGCATACATCTTGTTAAGGGCTTGCCATAGACGAAAAACGGAAGTGTGAAACGTGAACATATTATAGATACGCTCCTCCATTGAGTTGAAGATCCAACCCAGAATGGTGCACCTGTCCATGTCCCATGCAATATATTTAGTATCCGTCTTTTCCGGTTCCTTGACTAGACCCAAAAGCCAACCAGTTTTCCCTTTCCCTTCAATATAGAGTTGAAGAGAACGGGACCACGATACGAAGTTGCGCCCATTCAAGATCACACTAGTAACCCGTTGTGCCGGAGTATGATATGCCGAAGATAAAGTATGCTGGACCTAGAATAAAGTGTCCTTTTGGCTACTAGAATCAATCATAGTACCAAAATAAGGCTGGTCCACACGTCAAAGCGAAAAAAAAAACAAAAAAAAAAAAAAAAAAGAGAAAGAAAGAAAAAGAAAAAGAAAGAAAGAAAGAAGAAAAAAAGGCTAGAAAAATCGGCACTTTCCTCCAAATATGTTGCCGAACAAACACAGGCAGCTCACAAAGGAAAAAAACACCAGAAGGACCCTTAGGTCATTAAAAAACCTAAGGGAAATCTCTAAAAAAGGAGTAAAAAACACAGGGTTACCCGAGGGGTCCGGCACAAGGGCTGGGAGGAGACGGAGGTGCGCCGGAGGTGAGGGAAAATGGAGAGAGGGAAAGAGAAGGTGACAGCGTTGGGGAGGTGAAGGTTTTTGTCTTACTCTGATACCAAAAAGAAGAAGTTTTGGGTTTTGGCGTACTCGAACTGAGAGCCAAGACATATTTATATACAAGAATATGGTACAAAGAAAGGAAACTAAATCAAAGAAAAACAGGAAATATGCCAGAATCTACGTGATCCCATGATTATGGAGATCTTATCTACGTGATCCCATGATAATAGGGATCTTACATAAAGCACCTAATAAAAGGCTGAAAACCGCTAATATAAATAAAAATAATAATAATACAGATATTTCAACACTCAGTATACTTAGGAAAGTAGTAAAGTGTTATTAATGCTGTGTGGGGATTCTAAGAGTCATTCTAGGAAAAGTCAAGTGTCACTAATAATATTATTATAAAAAGGACGGCCCTTTATATCTGCTATAATCAAGTCTTTATCAATATCATTTGAGTTATTTTCAAAGTATAAACTTCTCTTAAGGCCTTTCCCAAATTTCCCTTTAGAAATCTAGGCTCCAATGGTGGTGATTGGAGAATTTCCATTCTCTCTTACTGTTGTAAAAAGATTTCTGTTCATATCTGTTTGCTCCAGTATGCAACGGAACCCATGCTCTTTAAGCAAAGCAAAAGGAAGAACTTCATTTATAAAATATTAAGGTATGTACTAGCTAGAGAGGTCAATAATGCTCTTTATGGAAATCAAAAATGCCATATAAAATCATTAATAGGCATAAAAGAAAGAAATTTTTATAATATATTATAATTAAATATCATAAGAAAGAACGTTCGCATGATTACAACACTTACTTGGGAACGAAGAAGCTCTTTATAAGTAGCAAGCTCACGAAATGCAGTCATGAACTTTGATATGACTGGACCTGGACAGAGGAAGAAAATGAGAAGAAATTAAACTATAGCTATCTCTTTCTGGTGGTTCTTAGCATCATACGCTATGCAAGTTGAGATCTTCCATGTGGCATTGCCATCGGGCAAGCGGCAAGCCTACTTTTGACATTTTTAAACTAAATTAGAAAAGAAAAAAAAAAAAACGTTATTGGAAATGGAGCCCATTGATATATAGAAACGGGCACTCATAAAGTTAGGTGACCATCAATTAAACGTGTGATATTCAGCGTATAAACAATTGATTGCTACAAAAATTGCAAGGCCTTGTTTGGATGCAATAGTTGCCTCACAATCAAACAAGGGACTGAATTTTGAAGAAGCAAAAAGCAATCAACTGGCCTATTGCAATCATATGGAAAAAGATTAAAAAAATTTAATCAACAAAAAAAGTAAGAATGGTTACGGAATCTACTTAGATTCGATTTAGACCCAGGGGAAACCTTTGTTAGAACCAGCTAAAGGTTAGGCTTTATATATTGCACATACCACGTTTCTTTCACTATAGTCCGCTGAGTATAGAAGTAATTATACTAACAAAACCTGTTTTACCCTAATAAAAACTTCACTATAATCCATAAGAATCATTTTTCATTTCATAATATTTCTCTAAGAAGGAAGTAGAACAGACTATTGAGAGTTGAAAATTCCATTAACCTCCTATGGATACGCTTATGGGATCGTCTTCACCACCACCAAATGCTTCTAAAGTTTCTGCAAAGGAAGTGTCACCATTACATGCTTCTCCAATAGTTTCCCTGTAGAGATAGAAATGAACACATTTCCTCTTAACATGGTTTCTCTAGTCTCAGAATGTGGATAAACATAAGAACTTAAAAAGACACAAAAAGCACAGCAGAAATAAATTTCTAATGTTTATAGAAATGCTTCTATATTTTATATGTTACTTCTAAAAGGTAAGAAAGTTCCATGGAACAAAAACACCAAACACTGATTGGCAAGTGTAGAAAAAGCCAATGAAACCCATTGATGGTATTATTGAGACCTAAGAGGAGAATCATACTTTCCATTGTTCCATTGTTCTTGAAGAGGAAAGTTTGGGAACTCTAAACCCAAAGTATTTAGTAAGATTGCACAAACCCTCTATTCCATACGAGTTATTTCTAATCCTGGGAAGTAGGAGCTAGCACCTCTATTTCCCTGGACTCTGGGAGTGGGAGAGAGTCATTTTTGTTGTTAGGCTTTTTCCTCTCGGACTTCACAATTTTTTTAGCTGAAGGTGTATTTTAACCCTTATGGTATATCTTTCTTTTTTTTGGTAATAAATAATTCTTACCAAAGAAAAAAGACAAGTGTAATAAGTAAAAGAGTTGTTACCATAAACAATATTATCACAATTGACATGTTGATACATTTGTTCTCAGATTCAGTTGAACATTCCTATAACCAATAGCCATACAATAGGAACATATTTAGATCACCTAAACACGACTTCACCCCACAATGATGCATCTGTAATCGTGCACTCTGTTCCTTTGCGAGGTCAAAACATTGATTATTAATTGTAATCTATTCCAACTCCAAGCGCAACTTTTTGTCAACATTTCAATCAACGAACTTTTCGTTGATATGTATGAAAATTTTGGGCAAAGCGAAAATCTTCACCCACCATGCCCATCCAGCTAACAAATCACAAGACAACAGTATTGGCATATCTCAGAAACGCCAACCCTAACATAGCTTGGAAGTTGAAAGACATCCACTAATAAACAGTGAAGTTTGATATTCCCTTAGGTGAACATGTTTGATCAACATATGTACCTCAAACAATTCAAGTTGCTCAACCTCCGTCCCTGTTACAAATCTCTGAGTTGCTCTATTGTAAACCAAGGTATGCAAAGGCCTCCTTGATGACTCAAATGTTCACAAACATAAGCTCTTTGTCTGTGAGAGCGTATTTCAATATACGGATAAACACAAATTGATTGTCCATTAACTAGGTGAACATATATCACACATAGGACAACCCGATCAAATGATCTTGGCCAATTGCAGATGGCCCTATCATTAAGTGATCAATATTCATCATTCTAGCACTCAAGAAATCCTATTGAGAATAATGAAGAAAAAACATAATAAAAAATAATAGAGAATACTGTGAAGCACCTCACATAATGAGTAGGATGAGAATGCTCTGAAAACAACTGATATAGGACAAGAATGCTCTGATACCAAACTTATGCGGGACAGATAAAAGCAAAGGTGAGATAGAAAAGAGAAAGCGCCTAGAGAAGGAGAGGAAGTTGAAGAGAAGAAGATTTCCGTGCGTGCGGGGGGTTGATGGGGAGGGGGGTTCTGTAAATCAATATTCACTACTCAAACAAAACTTATCTACAACTGACACATATTTATAGGTAGCAAAATGTTTCCTTAACAACTAAGCCCAAAGTTTCCTTAATAACTAAGCAAGTCAAAAATAGCTGCAGAGAAAGAAAATTGGACATGAGTCAGCCACAATGCATCATGATCTGCATTACTTCTTCCCAGCTGATAAGAACTCTCAAAGCAGGAAGTGTGGTTGAAGTGATAGTTAAGAAGATCATCAATCTAGAAGTATGGTTGAAGTGAAGTAGAAACTGATGATAATGTTGAAGAATGTACAGTTTCACCTCTAAGAAAAATGACAAAATATGAGGCTCAAAGGTGCCTCGGTTAGGTGACAAGTACTCCACATCAAAATCCGAATTTATACTGTTATCCAATGGCAAGCCAAATAAATATGCATCAGATACTCCTTTATGAATAAGGTAGAAAGGTCCAATAACTTAGGCAATCAATGTCCGTAAAGAGTTTTTAGGATAGTTGTGGGTTCCCAAGAATTAGAACATAATCTCCTTCAATAAATGCATGGTTCCTATTATGAGCATGTCCAGCAAGTTCATAATTTTTCTTACTCAAAACAATTTCTCGTCGCATATCGGCATGAAAATCACGGTCATGCTGAACAAAGGAATCAATAGATTCAATCGAACAAAAATATTGAGGGAAATTATGAATGTCAGGCAACTGAATTGGAGGTCTATCCAGTATTAAATGAGGCAACTGGATTGGAGGTTTATCCAGTATTACATTCTTAATTTCATTCAACTAGGTGATTTTAGGGAGTGGAAAATCAAACACCTTGTCGGATATGACATGGGAATCTTTCATAGCCACTTTTTTCTCCTTTTGTCAAAATATGTTGGTCAAGGGTGAGGAGAAGACCTATGTGCTGCTCTATAATCCCTTTTCTGATTGGTTTAATGGCTTTTGCAGGCTTTAATGTGATAGTTCTACCATTATACTTGAAGACATAAGTATTGTCTCTACAACAATTGTGAGGTGCGGTGGGTGGGAGCAGGCATGTGAGAGGCAAGGCTCTAGTGCAAGCTACGTGTGCTCACAAGTCCCACATCGCCTGGGTGTGGAAGAGTGAAGTGTTTTATGTAGGTTTAACACCCTTCTATGACACAACGCGTTTTAAAGCCTTGATGGCCGTGAACCCATCAGAATTTCGTAGTTAAGCGTGCTTAACTTGGAGTAGTACCAGGATGGATGACCTCTTGGGAAGTCTATGGTCCGGGGGAGCGAAAAGAAAACAATATTGCGTCTGGTGGTGTGAGGGCCGTTATAAATGGTATCAGAGCTTGACCCAGCACCAACCGAAAGTTTTCCAACGGGTACGTCGGGCTCCCAAGGGGGGTGGAATTGTGAGGCTCAGTGGGCGGGAGCAGGCATGTGAGAGGTAAGGCTCTGGTGCAAGCTATGTGTGCTCACAAATCCCACATCGTCTGGGTGTGGACGAGTGAAGTGCTATATGTAGGTTCTGCTGGAAGATATATATTATTTCCCTTGTTTTAGGGATTTGATTGATTTCTGACTATTGTAAATTAGAACAAGATCGTAGGATAGATTGATTGCAGTAAAATAGGATAGATTGATTGTTTTAAATTAGGAATAGATTTGTAGGAATATTTTTTTATTCTTTTCCTTGTATAGCTTTCCCTCTTTCCTATATATACTTGTACAAGATGTTAATGTTAATGTTAATGTATGAGGAAGAATATTTTACAAAGAGAATTTCTACATGGTATCAGAGTAATAGTGTCAGAAAGAGAGAAAAGTTTCACTAGTCTGAGCGATTACCGCTGACGTATTCTCTTTGTCCTCCTATTCTTGTTCTCTTGGTGTGCAATTGTCTTGGACGACACCCTAAAGCCTTGATTCTAAACACCATAGACATCGAAACATGTCTGTCGTTACCTCTAAATCTTCTGATTCTAGTACAGCACCGCCCATTCCTTCAATTGTGACCAATCAACTTGATAACATGAGTGTGCAAATGACTTCTTACAAATTTGATGGGACAAATTATCCTGCCTGGTCCCAGTTTGTGAAGTTGTACATCACATGAAAGGGAAAGTTGGGGTACTTGATTGGAGTGAAGAAACAATCAGCGGATACTGAACCTTCCTTCTCTACTTGGTTAGAGGAGAATACCATGTTGATGTCATGGCTTCATAACTCAATGACTCCGGATATTAGCACCAGTTTTCTTCGACTTCCCACAGCTTATGCTATTTGGGAAGCCGTGGCTCAAACCTATTTTGATGGTAGTGATGCTTCTCAGATTTATGAACTGAGGCGCAGGGCAAATGAGACTCGGTAGCATGGGAAGACATTGGTTAGCTATTTTTCTGCTTTGCAGGCCATTTGGCAGGAGCTGGATTTTCTCCAACAATGTGATATGGAGTGTGTTGGAGATACAACAAAGCTAAAGAAGAGAATTGAAAATGAAAGGGTCTACAATTTCCTAGCCGGCCTTGACCCAGGATTTGATAAGATAAGGGTACAGGTTTTAAGGCATGATCCTCTTCCCAATCTTTGCAGTGCATATGCCTATGTTCGACATGAGGAGCTCCGTCAGGCCACCATGTTTACAGGTGTCTCACATGAGAGTTTAGCCTTGGCTACTATGCAGACTCCAACTACATTGGTTACCTCTTGCTCAAGGAAACCTGAGAACAAAGAGTCTTTGTTCTGTACACATTGTAATAAGGCTGGACATAATCGAGAGACTAGTTTTAAGCTGAAAGGTTAGGCTGGTTCCATAAGCAAGGTGGAAACAAGGGGCATAATTCAATTTCTAGAGCACATAATACAACCTTTGATGTGCAGTCTGATGCACAATCTTCTTTTGCAGCCCAACCACAGTACTCAAAGTGAAGCACAAGGTAGATGGTTCAGTGGAGAGGTTCAGAGCAAGATTGGTAGCTAAAGGTTATATCTAGACCTATGGGATAGATTATCAGGAAACATTTGCACCAGTGGTGAAGATAAATACAATAAGGGTTCTCTTATCCTTGGCTGCAAATTTAGAGTGGCTAGGGCTGCAAATAAACCGAGTTGTTCATGAACAGCTCGGGCTTGGCTCGTTAAAAGCTTGACTCGGGCTCATTCATTTAGCAAATGAGCCGAGCTCGAGCTCATTTATCAGGCTCGTTTAATAAACGAGCCGAGCTTGAGCAATCCCAAGCTCGGCTCGCCAAGCTCGTGAACAGGCTCGTTTAGTTGAAGGGCCTAGATTTTAAAATTTGCTATTAAAGTTTAGCCCAAACACTTGACTTTCTAAAGCCCAAGAAATTTATTATTTATAAGTTTTGTCCTCTATATCCATTTCATCAGCCCATTAACCCACTATTCTAGCACCACCGTTGGATGACACTTATGTAGCACCACCATTGGATTATTCATCTTATAATCTACTAGTAAATCAAAAGAAACCCTAACTCTAATTGCAAACCCAATGTCAGCAGTCTACAGACCCAATGTTCTCTCTCTTCTTGCAGTTCCTAGTACAGCCACGCATCACTACAAAATGCCTCTCCGTCCATGGCAGATCACGTCTTTTCTGCCAGCTATTCCTTGTATCATCCTTCTTCAACAGAAACTGCAAGTTTATTACTCTGCTTCTCTAATCCATGTTCTCACTCTCTCTTAACCATTTTTTCTTTTCTTTTGGAAGGTCTCTGAACCATGTTTTTTTTTTCTCATAGCCATGTTCTTTCTCTTGATTGCCATTTATGGAATTATGAGATGATGTAGACTTGGCAGTGTGTTTTTGCCGAGCTTGAACCGAGCCGAGCCCAAGCTCGTTCGAACATCGGCGAGCCGAGCCCGAGCTTGGTTAAAACAAGCTCGTCCGAGCCCGAGCCGAGCTTGAGCACCCTTCTGACCTTGGCGAGCCGAGCCCGAGCAAGCCAAAGCTCGGCTCAGCTCAGTTCTTTTGTAGCCTTAAGAGTGGCCTCTTCAACAGTTTGATGTGAAGAATGCATTTCTTCACAGCGATCTAGAGGAAGAATTATACATGGACTTTCCTCTAGGCTTTGTTAATTCCTCTAAAAGAGGTAAGGTATGCAGATTGAGAAAATCCTTGTATGGACTCAAGCAGTCACTTAGAGCTTGGTTTAGCAAGTTTACTCAGGCCATGAAGAAATATGGATACCACCAGAGCCAGTCGGATCATACTCTCTTTCTCAAACATTCACTTAGAGGTAAGATTACTGCGTTAATCGTGTACGTGGATGATATTGTGGTGACTGGTAGTGATGGTGAGGAGATGGGTAAGCTAAAAGCATATCTGGCAAAAGAATTTGAGATCAAAGACCTTGGGTCTTTACGGCTAGGTCAAAGAAGGGGATCTTTGTTTCCCAAAGAAAATCACAGGTTAGGTGAATGCACAAATGATACACCTATAGACAGAGAAAGAGAGATACCAAAGGTTGGTTGGGAAGCTAATATATTTGGCACATATTCGCCCTGACATAGCCTATGCGGTGAGTGTAGTGAGTCAATTCATGCATGCTCCTTACGAAACACACATGTTAGCTGTAAACAGGATTCTTAAGTATTTAAAATCAGCTCCTGGGAAAGGTCTGCTATTCTCCAACCATGGTCATCTCGAAGTGGAAGGATATACAAGTATTGATTGGGTAGGATGTGTAATAGATAGAAGATCAAGTTCAGGATACTGCACCTTTGTGGGAGGGAATCTAGTCACGTGGCATAGTAAGAAACAATCTGTCGTGGCTAGATCCAGTGCTAAAGTAGAATTTAGAGCCATAGCTCATGGTATATGCGAGATGTTGTGGCTGAAGGCTTTGTTAAAGGAGCTGGGCTTTAATTCTAGGGATCCAAAGTTGCCATTAGCATTGCTCACAATCCAGTTCAGCATGATCGTACTAAACATGTTGAAGTGGATAGACACTTTATCAAGGAGAAGTTGATAGGTAGATTAATTTGCACTCCGTTTGTGAAGACAGAACATCAGTTTGCAGTTTTTTTGACAAAGGGAATGTCAACTACGACTTTCAATTTGGCACTTGACAAACTGGGCATTCGAGACATCTATGCTCCAGCTTGAGGGGGAGTGTTGGAAGATATATATTATTTCTCTTGATTTTAGGGATTTGATTGATTTCTGACTAATGTAAATTAGAACAAGATTGTTGGACAGATTGATTGCAGTAAAATAGGATAGATTGATTGCTTTAAATTAGGAACAGATTTGTAGGAATATTTTTTATTCTTTTCCTTGTATAGCTTTCCCTCTTTCCTATATATACTTGTACAAGATGTTAATGTTAACGTATGAGGCAGAATATTTTATAGAAAGAATTTTTACGTGTTCAACACCCTTTTATAACACGTGTTTTAAAGCCGTGATGGTCGTGAACCCATTAGAACTCCGTAATTAAGCGTGTTTAACTTGGAGTAGTCCCATCCTGAGAAGTCTTTGGTCCGGGGGAGCCAAAAGAGGACAATATTGTATCTGGTGGGGTGAGGGCAGTTACAGTAACAGACTGCACCAACATTATAAATACAAAGGCGATTAAGTAGTATGTAAGCTACATATATAGGTAGGACGGCAACCAGGTCATAGCACAGTTCTAGCCCATTCAAATAGGAACTAAAAATATCTTGGGGATGGTCATGAAAGTTTTGTTTATCCAAGTCCTTATAAGGTTGTGAGTGTGATTCAGGTTGAATTTTCAACCTAACACCACCTAATTTGGACACTGCATATTGATATATTTAATAGGTTTCGGTGTCTAAATAGTGGTTGCTTTAATTTGCGGGAACGACAACGGTGAGGTGTTTTCCGGAAGCTATTTGGTGAGATGGGGCTGAATTACAGTGGATTAGGTATCAAAGCTATGGGTAAGATGGATTAGGGGTTGAGAGTTGCAATTGGGTTTTGCTGGGGTTGTTAGTGGACAAAGGACTGGGATATCGATCATGTTTTGTTGGGTGTTAGGGTTATTGGATTCGTGAGAGGGCCAATGGTTATGGTTGTGTTGATGACGGTGAAGGCTAGGTTCAGTTGTGAAATACAGATAGTATGGATTTGTTAACATTGATGTTGACTGCTATGGATCATCCTTTACTATGATACCAAACTGATGTAGGATGATAATGCTTTGATCCCAAACCGGTGCAAGACGGATAAAAGCAAAGGTGAGATAGAGAATAAAAAGAGAGAAGTAGAGGGAGAAACACATAAAATTCAGAATTTGAGATGGCAAGAGTACCCGTTTTTCAAAGGATCTTTGGTGTGGAGACCCTTTGGCTTGTTCTTTTCCCATACTTTTCAGGATTGTTGTTGATGCACACACGTTATTTGCCGATTGTTATCATCTTGATAATGGGAGGATTACTTGGGATTTGCATTTGCTGCATTATTTTCAAGACTGGGAATTAGATGATGTCTGTGCTTTTTTGGAGCTTCTTAATAGGCAGGAATAGGATGGTGGAGGGTCGAATTCTCTCTTTTGGGTGCTTTCTTCCCGGGGAAGATTTGATGTCCGCTCTCTGTTTGTTGCCTTTCTAGTTTTTCAAGGGTTGACTTCCCCTGGAAGGAGGTTTGGTGTTCGCAGGCTCCTCTCAAAGTGGCCTTCTTTGTTTGGATTGGGGAAAGATCTTAACGTTTGATAACCTTAGAAGGAGAAAACAAGTTACTGTTAATTGGTGTTGCATATGCAAGAGGAATGGGGAGTCAATTGATCACCTTCTTTTGCATTGCCCCGTGGCTCGTGACTGTTGGTGCCTTATTCTTGGCTTGTTTGGTGTTCAAAGGGTTATGCCTAGGTTTGCGAGAATAATGATTGATGCTTGGAAAGGATGCCTTGTGGGGCCCCTTGCCCATGATTTCTAGAGTGAGGCACCCTTTTGCGTTTGGTGGTGCATTTGGAAGTAACGGAATAGTAGATCTTTTGATGGAGTGGAATCTTCCTTAGGGGCCCTAAATTTTCTAATTGTTAGCTCTTTTTTTTGTTGGGTTATGGGTCGATATTGTAAATCTATAGAGGAGATAGTTGATTTTTTTGGGTTCTTTGAGCTCTTAGGTCCTTTTTGGTTGCGTCCTTTGTGTAGTTTTTTTGGGCCGCATTCCCCTTTTGATCGCTTTCTAATACATTTTTACTTCTTTTTTTCTCTTAGTTAGTACTCACACACTCTGGCTTGAACCCCTGACCTCTCTTTGGGAAGTAGGAGCTTGATATCGCTGGCCACTGTCCCATTGATAAAAAAAGAAGAAGAAGAATTCATGTGGATGAAACGCCTGTAACTCAATCAAAACTTGTCCTGATACATATATGCCTATTTATAGGCACCAAAAAAATTCTTTAACAATTAAGCCAAAAACTTTCTTTAATAGGTAAGAAATAATAACAGCTAAGAAAATGAAAAATAGTTGCTACAAAAGTCAAAAATAGATGCAGAGAAAGAAAGCTGGACATGAGGCAGCTACGGTACATCATGATCTGCATCACATAATCTAAATTCGAACAGTAACAATTAAAGTTACTGGCCAAACAAACATAGTAGTAATGCAGGAGACAATCTAGTCACTTCAATAATAAACAATTAATCAAATAAAGGAATACTGTGAAGCGCTCACATAAACATTTGACACCCTTTGTATAGTCTTTGACAGCGGTCGTTGAGCTGCTCCGTGGTTCGTTCAAGGGAACATATCTGATCAATAGCATAAAATGAAAGAACAATAAATATATTCATGATCTCTCCAAAAATAAAACTAAGCAGATTATGGTACTTCAAAGGAGGCTTGGATGAATCACTTAAACTCAATAAAAATAAAAATAAATAAATAAAAAGGAGATAATAGAGATCAATCGTCATAGCAGGATATTGGATTACAGTTCTGCATTACAAACTTCAAAATTTTGCTTTGCTGCCCCGAAACCACCCTAATTACAGTTCTGCATTATAAACTTCTATGGGTTCAATTTTTATTTGAAAGGGCAATGACTCTGTGGGTGTATGTATAACCTTGAGTACCACCAAAACAATGGATGACTTTTCAAATTTTAAAATTTTATGGCAAGCCGTGTAGAGGGCATGACCTATGTTTTACTGGAATTATGATACCACAAAGTTCATTGAATGACTAGTGAGATTAGTACAGAAGGAAGACCATGTAAGAATATTAAAATTGAAAGATGCGGTCACCGATAAAAGATGAACTTATATATGTATAAATATGGATCAATCAGTTACCTGCTTATGAAACATAGGAGAATCATCCAGCTTGATGAAGGCAGCCATTGCTCTCTCTCTTTCCAACACAAATCTCTCTCTAGATCGCGGGACAGTCGCAGTCTCGCAGATGCTAGTAAGGGTGGATTGGTCAATATTAGGTATAAATTATAACAACTTGTTAAGTTAATAAAAATATGTCTGTCCAAAAAAAATGATAAATAAAAATATGTAAATTATGTGTGGGAAAATATGCGTAAGGTAAAAGAATTCGATTAATAAATTTGTGTAGGAAAATTACATGACAGTGGTTGCGTTTAGTAACAAAAACGTTTTTTTTTTGCTTTTTATTATGAGTTAGGGCTGCAACTTGGGCGGGTTTAAAGTATAACTTGAGTCAAACCCACCATATGAAATATTAAACCCAAGCCCAACCCTAACCCTATCCTCAACCTTAACCACTCAACTCAAGCCCAACCCATCTTTTTATTTTTAAATTCAGGCTTACAACTCGGGCTTAAATTTCAAGTAAAAATTTAGGGTTAATTCTGGTTACTCATATGACTAATCCTTATACCGAAAATTTAATATGATCTTCAATTAATTTTAAATTAAATTACTCTTAAATAAGGAAAAGTTTAAAGACTTTTTGTAGATTTTTAATAAATTACAAACAAATTTTTAAAAAATTTATTCTCCTAAATATTAATATACAATAAGTTAAGATTTGACAAAAGAAGTTAAAAAAAAAAAAAAAAAAAAAAAAAAAAGTAATCATAGTTTAAATGTTATATATAATGTATTTAAAGTAAAAATATATATGAAAATAATATTAGAATTCGGGTTCGGGTTGACTCGGGTTGATAGTACTTCAACCCAAGCCCAACCTTAATTAAATTTGGGTTGAGATTTTTTAACCCAAACCCAACCTTAATTGTAAAAATGATTGCCCAAGCCTGTAAAAAATCGGGCTGGGCTCGAGTTGGGTTCGGGTTACCTAACCCAAGTTGCACCTCTATTGTGAACCCCTAAAAAGGCAAATCAAGAACAAAAATAATGTTTAATAAAAATTTTTTTCTATAACAGAAAACTTTTTTTTTAAGAAAATATAAAAAAAGTGTTTCTCATGTTTTTGACATTATTGAGTAAAAATGTTTTCACTATTATTATTACATTTTTGACCTTATTGAGTAAAAATGTTTTCACTATTATTATTACATATACATTTTTCATTCAAATAAAATGTATATTATTCATGTTATATACTAATGCTACATATTAAATAATAATAAAAGTTATATTTTTATATAATTATATTATATATTAGTGTAAATTATTTTTTATTGAATTGCATACATATTTAAGGTTTTTTTATAGTAATGAAAAGTATTAAAAATAAAATAAAATAAAATAATTAAAAAATGTTATGTATATTGTATTAAATATGCATTATTAAACACTGTTATTAATTTTTTGTTTTCAAAATTGTGACAACAAGTGTACAACAAGTGTTAATAAACATTCATTTTTGTTTTTTATTTTCACTCAAGAAAACAAAATTATGTTTCTACTTTCTTGAGACTGCATAAACAAAAAATGAAAACATTATTAAACGCACCCCTACTTTTCTCCTTTAGGCTTCGTTTGGATAATTAGAAGAGAAAAAAAAAATGATAACAATTATTTGAGAAAAGTAAAAAAAAAAAAATAAAGGATAGCAATTATCTCTATTCATGCATGTTTGGATAAATTATGAAAGAAAAAAGAAAAAGAAAAGAAAAGAATAGAATAGAATAACAATCAAATTATTATCATACCTTTTTTTAAGAAAGGACTTAAGTGTCATAACATGTTTATTCTTTTAATTATTAAGGATACTTTTAGAATTATGCAAGTATTACTAGCTTATTCACTATCCTTTCTCTCAAAATCTTCTCATTTTTTGGAGGATAGGAATATGAGGGATTTGGAAGGATAGCCTAATCCTTTATTTTCTCTCCACTTAAGACAATTTTGACACATTTCACATTATCCTTTCTTTTCTTTTCTTTATTTACCCCTTCAAATCATTCAATCCAAACGAAGCCTTAAAGACAACTAAGTCCTAGAAATTTTGATTCGGACAAAGAAGTTCTACTTTTGATATGTATTGCTAACAAAGTTCTATGAAAAATAGAATGGGTACCTCTGATGTATACTTTAAGTAGCACTTTCATCCCTTATTTTAAAAAGTGTGTTACAAACACCCCTATTCTTTTAAAATTATGTGAAAACACCCATCAATCATAATTGTGACATAAAGTAATGTTGTAATACCAGTTTTGCCCTTTTACTCTTCCGAAAGTGCCTAAGGGAGTGTGTATACTAATAATCTCATAGTATAGGGGGTGTTATGTGCACATTAACTATATTTAACCCATTTTTAAGGATTTTCTCTTACCTTTTCGGAAAAAACAATTATCTTTATATATTTCCGCTAACAGTGTATTATCTCTCTTAAAAAAATTCGTTGTCATAATTGTCATATTAATGTACAGTATATCATATGGAATGAAAAACTTCAGTTCTTTTCATAATTAAAAATAATAATAAAAAATAAAATAAAATAAAATTATTCTCAATTAAATTTTAATATAGTTATCAGTTTTCATTAAATATATAATTAAAAAAATAAATTAAAGATACTTATTAATTATTTATACCAATATACAATTAGTTTTTAAACTTTAGAATTTGTAACAAAATTTCACAAATATATATATATATATAGATAATTCTTTACATAACAACAAATGGGTATTCAATCTTTATTCGGTAAAAAAACAAATGGGTGTTCAATCACCTGCGGTATTAATACTATTCAAATCGTGACAAAACTATGTTCACAATTAAATGTAATCGTTAATATCAAAATATTCAAAACAACAATAGTTTATAAAATGCAGAAAACACTCATATAATATGCTTACAATGCGTATCACACCCCTCATGTACTAAATGACCATTTTTGTTATTTTTATAAAATGATGCATTTTTAAATAATATGTAAAATATGTATATAAAAGCGCGCAATTTAGTTGAACTATAACTTAAATGTATCAGGAGGTACCTATTTTCTTTCTCCTTTTTTCTCTTTATTTCTTTTCCATTGATGAAGATAATAAAACGTGCATATAAAGAAAACACTTGCGACAATTACTACAACATACATATTATTATTAATTACAAATGTTTTTTTTATTAATTTCAAATTTAATATATGGAAACAATTATAGCGGAGAACATTTAAATGAAAATCTTACCGAAATTAATTACTATATGTATTTTTTTAAAATTACAATTTAAATTAAATTTACTTTGAATTTGAATTGACAAGAGTCATAACCATTAACCAAGTAAAAAACTCGTGAGCTAGCATCATTTCGCACTAACCAATTCTGTTACTGTAGTCCGTTTATTTTATATAAATAGCACAACATGCACATTCAAGTCACGCAACATTTCTTCGACTGCTTCTCATACTTTCTCTTTCTATCTCAAGTGATCATTCCATCATGGTGCAGCTATTGGTTATGGTTCTGATCTCCCTTTTTGCAGTGACGATGATTATGTTAGTTGGCAACGCTAACCTATCATTTGGAAAATACAAATTCTCAGTGGGCTCTTAAAAATAAAAATATTAAACTTTGCTTCAATAATAATTGCATTGTTAATGTTGATTTGTGAATGTTCAAAGGATATGGTATAATCAACTATCAGCACGGGTTGCTTACAAAAAAAAAAAAAAAAAATCAGCACAGTTTACTAATATTTGTCAATGAAATAATAAAAGCATTGTGGTCATTAATATTTGTTTGTGGCAAAAAATTGATTGGCGGCAAGCAAAAACTGTTGTTATTGTTTTAGCCTTTTGATATAACTAGCAAAAAGCATGTATAATGCACGTGGGCGAATTTAAATTTACTTTGACTCTGAATTGCCAAAAGCTATAACCACTAACCAAGTAAAAAACTCGTGAGCTGGCATCATTTCGCACTAACCAATTCTGTTACTATGGTCCGTTTGTGTTATGCAAATAGCACAGCGTACACATTCAAGTCACACACAAAACATTTCTTAGACTGCTTCTCATACTTTCTCTCTTTAGTTCAAGCGATCCTTCCATCATGGTTTAGCTACTGGTTCTGATTTCCTTTTTTGCGGTGACGACGATTATGTTAACTGGCAACGCCAACCTATCATTTAGAAAAATGAAATTCTCAATGGGCTTTTAAAAATAAAAATATTAAACTTTGCTTCAATACTAATTGCATTATAAATATTGTTTTATGAATGTTCAAATGATATGGTATGGCCGACTATCAGCAAAGGTTGCTTAAAAAAAAAAAAAAAACTATCAGCACAGTTTACTAATATTTGTCAATGAAATGATAAAAGCATTGTGATCGTTAATATTTGTTTGTGGCAAAAAATTGATTGGCGTTAAGCAAAAACTGTTATTGTTTTAGCCTTTTGATATAACTAGCAAACAGCACGTGCGATGCACGTGAACGAATTTAAATTTACTCTGAATCTAAATTGTCAAGAGCCATAACCATTAACCAAGTAAAAAACTCGTGAATTGGTGTCATTTCGCACTAACCAATTATGTTACTATGGTCCGTTTGTCTTGTATAAACAGTACAACACGCACATTAAAAAATGGGAAGACGGTGACAATTATAGAGGTAGGAGAAGAGAAGGAGGAACTTGTTGAAGAGAGCCTTCCTTCTATTATCTCTAAAAACCCTCTTGAGACATGCCTTTTTGAAATGTATAAAAATTATGGTTTTGACCTTGAAAGCTCCAAAAATGAAGTGAACTCTCTAATGGACTCCTTAGCTAACTTAGAAAGTGAGGAGATGATGATTATTAAGGAAGAGAAAATGGATGAAGAGAGTGCAATTCCTATTAATCCAATTGAGTCTTTGAAAGACTTTGCCTTGCCAAGTATAAGGCCGCTCATTATTGACTTTATTTTCAAGGCCGTAGATGAAAAGAAACAAATTGCATCTTTCATATTGTCTTTTCAAATCGTTTTTTTGGAGGATGTGTATATTGTTGTGAGAGATGATTCACTTAGAAAAATAAACAAGTAGATCAATGAAG